GTGTGGCTGTGGCTCAGTGGTAGAGTGCTTGCCTAGTAGGCATTAGGCACTGAGTTCGATCCTCAGCACCACATTAAAAAAATAGAGATATTGTGTCCATCTACAACTAAAAAATAAAAAAATACATCATGTTTATTGTAATATGAACTGTGCATTGTTACAAGGGACAACACAGTTTGTGTAATAACAAACCATTTTTATATTGGCCTGTGTTTCCAGATTTTATGGCCAGCCTACAAAGCTGATTAGTTGTTGTAGGTATATAACATTTTCTCAGATCTAATAACATTCCTTAAATTTCATTTGGCCCAGATTTAGTAAAACTTCAAAGAAATGTTTTTTTTTTTTCCGTCTACTTTTTTTGATTTTACTTTCTTTGAATCTAGAAGGATAAAACAGCTGCAGCTGCCTTCTCTTTGGCATTTAAAATATGCAAAAATAGCCAGGTGCAGTGGTGCACACCTGTAATCCCAGTAACTCTGAGGCAGGAGAATTGCAAGTTCTAGGCCAGCCTGGGCAAGTTAGCAATGCCCTGTCTCAAAATGAAAATAAAAGGATTGAGGATGTAGCTTGGTGGTAAAGTGCCTCTGGGTTAAATCCCTAGTAATAAAATATAAAATAAGTATTCGTGTATCTACACAGTGAAAACATGATCTTTGCTGCATTCCCCTGTGGAAGTAAAAATAAAGATGGCTGCAGTTTAGTCAAGAGTGAGCAGAATTTTTCTGTGAACCTTGGAGATCATATTTGACAGGCTGCAGTTTGCCTTGCAGCCAGAAGTCCCTCAAAATTTTGCCTCCAGATAGAGAATGTTGTTTGTAAAGAATGTGCTTGTAAGACCACAGATTTTGACAGTTTCTAATCAAGGAACTTCTTGCTGTTTTAAAACTGATGATGCCTTCCAGATAGCCTCCTAGCAACCAATCATGTATATAGCTTAATGTGTGAACAGACTCCAGCACCAATCTACCAATCTAAATCATTCAAAACAACTTGTGTCATCATCAGGGCCAATAGAAAATTGTTCAGAACAAACTACTTCACCTTTTCCTATTGTTGCCCTGTTATCCCTTTAAAAATCTAGTCCTTATTACCCTTAATAGAACACTTACTTAGTTTCTAACTGAACCTGTTTCTTCTAATTTGCAAATCTATTTTGTACTTGAATAAAAACTGTCCTTTTTAAAAAAAATCTTTATTCTCTCACTTCTTTTCTTTAGTTGTTTGAACCCAGGAGTACTTTACCATTGACCTACAACCCCTGTCCTTTTTGTTTTTTATTTTGAGACAGGGTCTGCTAAGTTGCTAAGGGTCTCACTAAATTGCTGAAGCTGGCCTCTGACTTGCAGTCCTGCCTCAGCCTTCAGAGTCGCTGGATTACAGGTGTGTACCACCATGCTTGGCTTTTTTAATGATTTCTTGGTTTGTACCTTCTAGTACTCATTTTGTCAGTTCTCGCATGGTGGATTTCCAGGAATGCAGTTTTTGCAATCTTTAGGAAAGAGAAAGCTTCACGGAAAATTTCACTTCCTAAAGCTCTATTGCATGAAATTGAATTTCAGAGACAAGCAGAAATGTTCATCCATCCAAATTCTGTAAGCATTAATAAATTTTAACTTACATAATGACGAGTTTCTTATATTCAAGGTAAGGTTCTTGTGCTTCATCCAAATAGCTTAAGGGGAAAAAATGTGTAGGGATAAAGGAGATACTTAAAACAAGAAAGAAAAAAAAGCAAGGAGAAAAAATATTACTTAAACTTTATTAAATAGTTTCAAGGAAAATAAAGGAATAATCCTAATGGCTGCAAGCTCTTTGTAATCAGATATGATGCTTCTTATCTAGCACTACTACACATGGAACTTGTTCAACAGTATTTAGTGATTTTTTTGATGGATGGGAATATTGATTTACTGTGATGTTTTTCTTCTATTTTTCACATTAATAAATTAAAGCTGTGTGTTATACAACAGTTTTAAAAAAGATTAGCTTGTTAGATGTAAACCTCTTGGATAGACTGTATTAACAACCAAAAACAGTGAAAAAAAGTTTTATAATTGGTTTTCCTTTCAAGTATTAACTATACTGAGAAAATCAGTACTTTTATTGAGGGGTGGCTAAGAAACACCTTTGTCAAAAGGTAGCCGTACAAAGTGTAAATAGTTTGCCTGTCGAATAGTGCCTTCCTTTCCTTTGAGCTGAAGAAAAATATTCTTCAAAAGTGTATCTAGGGGGCTGGGGATATAGCTCAGTTGGTAGAGTGCTTGTCTCACATGCACAAGGCCCTGGGCCCTGGGTTCAATCTCTAGCACCGAAACAAAAACAAAAAACAGAAGTGTATCTAGGTGGGGCTAGGGTTGTAGCTCAGTAGTAGAGTGCTTGCCTCACATGTGTGAGGTACTGGGTTTAATTATCAGCACCACATATAAATAAATGAGTAAAATAAAGATCCATCAACAACTAAAAAAAAAATTTTTTTTTTAAAGTGTATCTGGGGCTAGAGTATAGCTCAGTTGGTAGAGTGCTTCCCTCCCTCCAGCGCGCGCGCGCACACACACACACACACACACACACACACACACACACACACACAGTGTATCCAAAGGGGGTAGTTTTAAATTGACAAATGGTGCATTTGACAAATGATAGCCAGGTGCAGGGTGGGGCTCCTACTTGTAATCCTGGTGCCTCCTAAGGCTAAGGCAGGAGGAGCACAAGTGCTAGGCCAACCTCAGCAATTTATCGAGGTCCTAAGCAACTTAATGAGACCCTATCTTAAAATAAAAAATAAAAAGGGCTTGAACTGTAGCTCAATGGTAAAGCCCTCTAGGTTCAATCCTAGTATAAAAAAAGTGTATGCGAGAGGCAGAATGTCATGATTGACCTATTTTTTCACATCGGTTTCAGCCATGATATCAGAAATCCATCTGTTCCTTTCTAAGTTTACTAAGTGAATATTTGATGTTTGTTTGCAGGACAAGCAAGATAAACAGAGTAGGAAGAAAAACAATCATCATTAAACAGTATTTGTACTCTACTGAAAATTTGCTTCAATTCAAAATAGGCTTATGCATTTTAAGAAGGGAGCTGTGAAGAATGGAACAAATCAGCACGTATTCAGGTGGAAATGCAGCAGCCCTGGGCATCATTACTTTGTCAGGGGGATTCCTCACCTGTGTAGTTATGGAGATGGACCGTATGGTCCCTCCTCTATGTCAACAGTTATAGTTAGAATTCATTATCTTTTATTTAATAGGAATGCCTTTTTGTTTTTTGGTCCTAGAGATGGAATATCAGGCTTCTCACATTGTAGGCAAGCACTCTACCACTGATTTATATCCCCACCCCTTTCTATTTAAGAATTTTAAATTTTGAGGTGGAATCTCTGCTAAATTGTCTGTGCTGGTCTTCAATTTGTGATCCTCCTGCCTCAATCTACTGAGTAGCTGGGAATACAGGTATGTGTCACCATACCTTGTAAATGTCTTTTTTTTTTTCATAAAATTTATCATGGTTAACAACTACATACTTCTTGATGAAATTAGTAGGCTAATGTTAGCCTTCCTCATCTCCTTAATGGCAATAGGGACTGCGTGCCCTTTTGTTCACCAATGTATCTAACAAGGAGGGATTTTAGAGTAAATGCTCAACATGTATACAGTATGTATACATGGCAAGGGACTGGGGAAATAGTTCAGTTGGTAGAGCACTTGCCTTGCATGCACAAGGCCTTGGGTTTGATCCCCAGCAACACACACACACACACACACACACACACACACACACACACACCATCAGAAAACACATGGAAAGGGCTAGGTTTGCAGCTCAGTGGTAGAGTGCTGCCTAGCACATGCCAGGCATTGCGTTTCATTCTCAGCACCACATATAAAATAAGTTAAAAGTAAAATCAAGGTATTGTGTCCATCTACAACTTGGCAAGTCAGCAAGATATGTATGGAAGATGGATCTATTGAAATGGAAAGAAAAATAAATCATGCCCTCTTTAAACCAGTTTTTTTTTTAATTTTTTTAACATTTATTTTTTAGTTATCGGCAGACACAACATCTTTGTTTTGTATGTGGTGCTGAGGATCGAACCCGGGCCTCACGCATGCCAGGCAAGTGCGCTACCGCTTGAGCCACATCCCCAGCCCAAACCAGTTTAAATATATGCTATTAAAACCATTGATGGTGCTGGGACCATTTAAAACCATTTTGGTAAAGGGAGCGGAACTTGCTTACTGAGAAAATTGCCCTATTACAATGGTTCAAGTAGAAAAGAAAACGAGCCAGGTCCAGTGGTGCATACTGTAATCCAGCTAGTGAAGGCAGGAATTTAATTTAGTGAGACCCTGTCTCAAAAAAAAAAAAAAAAAAAAGGCCCGGGTGATTTTCAGCAGTAGGGTTCAATCCCCAATATCAAAAGCTATGGTATTGTCACCATTCTATGTGAGTATGTTCCCAGGGTTCCAGCAGACTGTTAGGTAAGGAAGTTTATAGTACCCGAGTGTTATTTAGACATCACTCCTACCCCATACCCAGGGTCTAATCTTTGATAACCAGCCTTTTTTTGTGGGGGGACACTGGGGATTGAACCCAGCAGGACTTAACTGCTGAGCCACATTCCCAGTGGATTTTATTTTTTTATTTTGAGACAGGTTCTTGCTAAGTTGTTTAGAGACTTGCTAAATTCTTGAGGCTGACCCAATTGTAATAGACTGATCTTTTGTGGAACTTCCACACATCTGGAGCATAAGTGAAGTCTATTATTCTTGTCCCTGGGGTTTCTAAACATGGCCAATGTGAAATCAAATTTCAAAGGTTTGCATTCTTTTCTTTCTTAATAATTTTTAGTTGTAGATGGAACCAATAGCCTTATTTATTTATGTTTATGTGGTGCTGAGAATCCAACCCAGTGGCTCACACATGTGAGCTACCCCTCCCCCAAAGCTGCATTATTTTCTGAGATGATTTTAGCTACCTGATAATTGAGATGCTACTTTTTAAAAAAATCTTTATTGTCTCAGGGGTATTTGACAGTTTGCCTTATTTCACTGAGGATTCACTTGAAGCCAACACTGTCTCATCATCAGGATACACTACTCCTCAAAACTTTTTTCTGCTTGGTCAATCTATTAGGTCCTCAGACCAGGTGATTGCAGACCTGAGGTGATTTAAGCGTCCTTTGTCCTTGATTTTTCCTGGTTCAAATGCCAGGGTTTAAAAATTCTTCCACTAGGAAAGTCATCCCTTTGGGTTAAAGCAGTAATTTCTCAGTGTTCTGCATTTCATTCTCAGTGTTCTGCATTTCACATTTAAGAAGGGCTGACACCTGAAGTCACCTCTGAGAATGTTTTCTTCAAAAGATTATCTGTGGATCAGATAAGGGCCAGGGAGAGTCTGAAAGCACTTGTGACCTTGGGGAGGAGGAGGAAGCTCTGAGAGATACAGTGCCTGAGAAAGTGAAGAAGGGCAAACTTCCGTTACTGAGTTTTAGGACACAGGGTATCTTTCAAATGACGATTTATGCTCAGGGACTCTGCTTTTCATGCTCGTTCAAGCTCTCTTTTCTTCAGCAGCACAGCTCTCCTCTCCGGTTTTCAACTCTCCAGAAGGGCGCTGGCAGCACTCTCCGCTGCAGCGGACCTCCTTCCCGCCTCTCTCACTGCGCAGCTCCAGATCCCACACGTTTCGGCTCTGCGCTTCCCGTGGTCCTCCGAAGACAAGTAAAACAGAATACTGCACTCACCCTCATTTATCACGCTCTAGCTTTTTTTCACCCTGCTCCCAAGGCTTTCGGTTATCTCTGCAAAAAAAATAAGAACCAGAACCTGAACCTAAATGAACCAACCGGCTGTCACTTCTTTCGCCTCCCCGCCAGGGAAAAACAGTCTTATTCCTGCTGAACGCTCTGTGTCTTGGAATCTGATCTCAGCTCCCAAGCCCGCGGTGCTGTCCCTAGCTGGGTCGGCGGGTCCTGTCACCTCCGGCCGCCCGCGCCTCCTTCTCCGGCCTGGGCCTCTCCCCGCCTCCCGCCCGCGGCTCGCGTCGCCCCGCCCCAAGCCCGCGCTCCCGCTACCATTATTGGTGCGCGTTCAGCCCATAAGAACGTCCATTGGCCAGGTGCGAAGTCCTTCACCCAGCGCATTCCGCCGCCCGCAGGCTTGCGGGGAAACTTCCTTATTATTGTGACGCCGAAAACCGAGAAACCCCGAGCCCGGCCAGAGGGGCTGTGACAGTCGGAATCCCGAGCTGCGGTTCGGCAGCTGCCGAGGTGCGCGGGGCGGGGGCCGGGGTTCTAGGGAGGAGGGCACCGGAGAGCTGCAGCCGTGCGGCCGCCGCATCTCGCCCGGCTCGGCTGTCGGCGCGCGGATCCCAGAGGG